AGTGAAGGAACTAGAAATCATTCTTAAGTTTATGTGTCAGTGGGGGAGGCATAGTGGGCACTTGAACCCCCAACCTCTGGCTCTACTTCTAGCTCACTGAGCTATACAGCCAGCTCATTAATTGATAAGAGTTGCAGCGAATTGCAAATGACTTGATGCTGCTTAGTGACAATAATTTTAAAAAATATATTTACAGCCAAGCTTCCTTCTAGTTTAAGCCAAGCCGCAGTGAAGGAACTAGGAATCATTCTTAAGTTTATGTGTCAGTGGAGGAGGCATAGTGGGCAATTGAACCCCCAACCTCTGGCTCCACTTTGAGCTCACTGAGTTATACAGCCAGCTCATTAATTGATAAGAGCTGCCGCCAATTGGAAATGACTTGATGCTGCTTAGTGACAATTAATAATTTTTAAACATATATTTCCGCAGTGAAGGAACTAGGAATCATTCTTAAGTTTATGTGTCAGTGGAGGAGGCATAGTGGGCAATTGAACCCCCAACCTCTGGCTCCACTTTGAGCTCACTGAGTTATACAGCCAGCTCATTAATTGATAAGAGCTGCCGCCAATTGGAAATGACTTGATGCTGCTTAGTGACAATTAATAATTTTTAAACATATATTTACAGCCAAGCTTCCTTCTAGTTTGGACAAAGCAAAAAGACACAAAAGCACCACTTAGGGAGTGGAGAGTCAGTGTGACAGGTAGTGTTTTGGGAGGCAGCAACATGGAACGCGTGTCTTCCTAAATTATAGTTTTGGAAGAGGTAGCCATCCTGGCAAGCATATCAGGCAAAACCCAGAGTAACAAAACAAACCAAGACAAAAACATGTAGCATCTTAAAGACGTAATTCTTATATTTAAATGTAAATAGTTTCGTTCAAATAGTCTTTAAGGTGCCATATATTTTTGCCTTGCTTTGTTTTCTTTCTTTGGCTTTTGTTTGATATGCTGCTAAATGACGTTGGACTACAACTCCCATTCTCCCTCACTTCCGGTTTTGTCTGAGGGGGATGCGCAGCCCTACCCCATCTGGAGGGACTTCTACCCGTTCCTCACCCGAGTTTCGACCCCTGTTGACTTATAACTCTCTGTACCTGGCCGTGGTCCGGCCGCTATGCCGCTCAGGCTAGCCCCCCCTCACAGGGTTGTTGTGAGGATACAACAGGGGCGGTGGGTCGAGGCGCCGCCCTGGGCAGCCTCCTTCCCAAGGGCGAAAAGGAATGGGCAGTGACCTCATTTTGACCTCTAACTTCGCGACTATAAATCCCCCCCCCCACAGTCAGGATCCTCTCTTCTCGGCTCGCGATTGGCCGCAGCCTGACGCAGCCTGCGCCACCTCTCAGCGCGTCTCCTCAAACGTAAGAGCCGATTGGTTTACTCTTCCGCCAATAATACATTTCGTCCGTCCTCTCTTCTTTGAGGCGTTCCCGACTGGCTGAGCCTTGTATTTCCCGCCCCGCCCTTGCAGTGAAGCGGAAACAGGCGCGTCCTCCTTTAAGCTCCGCCCTCTATTTTCTTCACCTTTAACGTTCATTCGCCCGTGACCTTAATCATCCGTCGCTCTTTTTTTTCCCTATTCGTTTTTCATTGGCGGGTGTCCTTTCCCTGTCTCCGATTCGTGGTGCTTCCTGTCACTCTCTGCTTCCTTCGGGGCAGAGCGGGCCAATCAGAAAGGGAAGGAGGCGGAACGTGAGAGTCGCCGGCTGTCGTTGGGGGTCATTCACTCAGTCCCACCAAAGGTTCTGCCGGGTGAGGGTCTCGAGCAGTCTCTCTGTAGGCGAGCGGCGGGGCTGAGCTACCCTCTGTGGGAGTCCCTGTGGAGAAGAGGGGGGTCGACTCGCCCAAGCCGAGCTGTGGGGGCAGAGCTTCATTTTACCGTAGAGCTTCTTTCTCAGCTGTCGCTCCCCGAACCCGTTGCCCTGTTAGGCCATGAGCCTGAGAGGAGGAAATAGAGTGCCTCTGAGTATATGCAAAGTGTATTTCCCACGGCCATGAACCGCTTTCTTCGAATTGAGAAGAGAACCTCTAGGGGAGACACCCTCTCTTTTGTGCTTATCTTTCACCAAACAGCCCTTTAAATGCTCGGTGTTTAGGACAGTGAAGTGCTGAATTCACTTGTAGTGGCTTCATAATTCTCCAAACAGCCTTGCAAGGTAGGCCAGTACTACAGGTACATAGAGGAAGCAATGCCTGCATTTGGAGAAATACAATGGAATGGGTGGATTTGGAGATTTTGCAAAAAAAAAAAAAAGATACAATATATTGTATATCTATCCAGGGTTGCATGTTCCAGTGCACAGGCTGGGCCCTAAAAGGGAGGTCTTCTCTTCACTCAAGCAGTAATTTTGCTTGTAATCTGTCCCTTTGTGTTGCAAATTGTTGATCCTGAATAATTTGGGAGCCCAGAATGGGCTGGGTACCTTTCTCCTCCATGCACTGTGGCTCACAACTCCCATTAGCCTCATCCAACATGGCAAATGGCAAAGGACTGTGAAAGTTGTTGTTCAACCCTGGACCAAGGGCTTTGCTAAGGATGCTGGGCACGGCCTGATAATAAATTATGTTGCCCACTTAAACCTTTTCCCTTCAAAATGCTATCTGTGAACTGATATGTCTCTGTGGCTACAAGGGTGACTCTTTACATCGCACCCCTTCTGTTTCCTATCTTTATGATCTCTCTTATCTTTCCAGCTGCTGAGTTGCATCTGTTGCCTGACTGCTGTGGCCTCTCAGAGGAGTCTTCTTGTGGAACAGTGTGTGCGTGGCACCAAATCACAGGCTTTTGAAGCATTCTGCTGCTTGACAGCTTCTCTTCTCCTCCCGTCCCTTCGCCTTTGCTTTTCGTACCTCAGTTCCGCAGAGCCTTCCTGCAGGATGACCCGTGATGTGGGTCTTGATGATGAACTTCCAGACTGGGCTGGAGCCAAAGAGTTCTACCAAAAATATGACCCTAAGGATGTTATTGGCAGGTGAGGGGCTGGACTGGGCAGAGCTGGTCTTAATTGGGAGTGGATATTGTTCAGTGCAGGGACAGGGACTTTGAAGTCCACAACAAATTGGTTGTTTTACAGCTGTTTCCATCACAACCAGTTCTATAGGATTATGGGGCTTGTAGTCCAGAAAGAGCTTGGAGGGTACACATTGCCCACCTTTGGCATAGGAAGTGGCATGTGAAGAAGATCCCATGTCACCAAGTGAAACTTTGTATTTCCTGGTTTCAATGTTTGCAGAAACTAGATCTGGCTGTTTGCTCATTCCTGCCACTCCCATCTTGCAGGGGCGTGAGCAGCGTGGTCCGGCGATGCATACACAAACAGACAGGCCAGGAATATGCAGTGAAGATTATTGAAGTAACTCCAGAGCGCATGACCCCACAGCAGTTGGAGGAAGTGCGTACATCAACGGTCAAAGAGATTGCTATCCTGCGCCAGGTCTCTGGACATCCCTATATCAGTGAGTGAATATGTATCCATTCAACAAATCTTTAACCCAAGGATTAGTTAGGACCCTTCAGCCCAGGGACTAAGTCCAACCTGTCAGGGTCTTAGTTCAGCCCTCCTGGGAATTCCCCAAAAGCCATTCTTGTCCCCTGTGATACCATTATTTGCTGGGTTTTTTTGTATGGGATTTTCCTTATTCTGGAAGCCTGGAATGGCCTTCCAAAGGCTTAGTTACTGACCGAAGAGCTTTCAACTAAATTATGCTGATATTTTGGCTAAACCCTCCATGGCAATGCAGCCCCCTAGAACTTACCTGAAATTCAGCCCTGGATCCTTTCCTTGTCTTTTCCTAAGTATGGACAGCATTGGCGTGTCCAGAGGCTAGTTTTCTATTCCCTGGAACTTCTGGGGGCAACACAAATTACCAAATGTAATAATTTTTTTAAAAGAACAAAGCTGGATTTCGTTCAAGGAAACATGTAGCACAGTTCTGCCTGCCAGCAGAAGTGAACAGTTAAACTCAGGAGAAATCATCTGGTGGGGAACTGGTGGCAGAGATATTTGCATTACTTGCCTAATATTAGGGCTGGCCTGTCACTACTATTATATAATGCATTTTCTCTCTCTTTTTCTCCAGTTACACTTATAGATTCTTATGAGACATCCACCTTCATTTTTCTTGTATTTGACTTGTAAGTAGCAGGTCACTGAAAATAAGATAAAATTATCCTTTCTGTTGTCCCTTATAGAAGTACTTTAGGAACTTTATATACACGGGATCAGTATCTGCTGATTAATGTAGTCAAAGTGATGTTAAAATTTTAAAAGAAAACATTCATGGAAATATGTGTTTCTAATGATGAAATTACCAGACGAATATAAATATCCCATCTCTAGAGATCTTTAGGGAGGGAGTTGGAAGATGGATAAGATAAACCACATCCATCTGGTTTTGAAAAGCAGTTGTAAAAAAAGAGGCTGGCAGAAACAGCTGGTTTCTAGTTCACCCGCTTTCCCCATCTCTTGAACTGCAGCTTCCATCATCTCAGCCATAATGGGAACTAAAGTCTTAGGCCTCTAGAAGGCACCAGAGTGAGTAAGGCTGTTCTAGCCTTCCCAGACTCAGGAGGCTCAACGCATGTTGCTTTGTGCCCTGTACCGACTGCTTCTGTGCATCTATGAATTCTCCACAGTTTGTTCAGCTGCAGATAAGTGGTTTATTTCCTGGGTTTTGCCAGCAGTTTGTCCTCTAAAAGGGAGCAACCTTGCAAAGGAGTTGAATCATGATAGCCTTTATTTACTTGGACAGAACTGGACCTTTCCCTAAGGAACTGCTGCAGCCTGAAAGTCTAGTGAAATTTGGGAAAAGTAGGGTTCTTTCCTCTGCTTCAGTTGCATGTCACTTTACCTGAGCCTACATTCCCCCTACAGGATGAGACGTGGAGAGCTTTTTGACTACCTTACAGAGAAAGTTACCCTCAGTGAGAAAGAGACCAGGTAAGGTGGAGGGTTGTGCAGTAGAGATGGAAAGGTGGAAGTTCTTTTTGCCGTTATTTTTTTTGTCTGGTACCTCTTCTGCTGTGCTTTGAGACATGGCAGCTGAAACTCGCTTTTCTAGGTGTATCATGAGAGCCCTCTTGGAAGCTGTGAGCTACCTTCATGCCAACAACATCATCCACCGAGACCTCAAGCCTGAGAACATCCTCATGGATGATGACCTCAGCATCAAACTCTCAGATTTTGGCTTTTCCTGCCACTTGGAACCGGGGGAGAAGCTGCGAGGTAGAAATGGGGACTGGGGGTGGGTGGGAAGATGCCCCTGGTGGAAACTGGTGGTGGAGGGAAACCAATTAATTTGAGCTATGTTCTTTGGGGACCTGATACGTGAAACATTCCGCTCATTCCTTCTGTAGAGTGTTTGGGAAAGAAATTTCATTGGACTACATCTCCCAAAATCCCCAGGCAAATCCTCAAAGGGGATTTTTGCAGCCCGATGGAGCCCTTCATGCCTCCATGTTTCGGCTTTAAAACAAAGAGGATTGAGACATACTGTACCTTTTTTCTGGATCAGTTATTTGCACATAAAATAAGTTGGGGCACTTCACCCCTCCACCCAATTTCTCCAGATTATAGACAGAAGTAGTTCTAATCAACCAATGACCTCTAGGCATGTTGTTTTAATTTTTAAAATATATATTTGTATATGTTTTGGTATTTCAAGGCTTGATGTCATGTCCCCACGCCTACCCACCTACCCAACCTTGCTGGATACTGGGGGCAAATATTTAGCTTCCAAGACTACCAGAATTGTCTGTGTATGTATTGTGTGCCATCAAGTCGATTCGGACTTATGATGGCCCTTTCTAGAGTTCTAGAATACGCAGAAGTGGTTTACCCTTCCTTTCTTCTGGGAGTGCCCTGGGACTATGCAGCTTTAATGCGGTCTGCCATTGCATGAAACATGGGACAGACCAAATCATTGCTGCTGTGGAATAAGCATTGGGCCATTGCATGGAAAAGTTACTTTTCGGAGACTGACCCAGGATAGCCAGGAGTTTTTCCAATCCCTTGATTTGGAGGCTTTCGATAGGCTACTCATCTCCTGCTAGTGGTGGCTCCTGCCCTGAGATTCTTCTCACCCACTTCAATTGCGTACTTCTCTTTTTTTTTTCTGACCTTGGAATTCTTCCCTTCCAGAGTTGTGTGGAACCCCAGGATACTTGGCTCCAGAGATCCTCAAATGTTCAATGGATGAGACTCATCCTGGATATGGGAAGGAGGTGGACCTGTGAGTTACACTTTGTGAACATTTGTCCTTTGAGGGGAAGAGGAAGGAATGAGTGAGAGTTGGATGTATTGCCGCTTTCCTAACCTGGGGATCCTTTTAATGTGTTAGACTGCACCACCTATCATCATCAGTATGACAGAGGATTATGGGAAATACAGTGGTGCCTTGCTAGATGATTGCCTCGCAAAATGAGGAATTTGCAAAACGAGGAATTTGCTAGACATGACTTTTTTGAGCAATGTTGCACTTTGCAAAATGATTGTTCCTATGGGCAATTTTGTGCTTCACAAAACAATTGTTCCTATGGGCAGTTTTCACTAGATGATGTTTGGGTCCTTCCCTCACAAGATGGTTTTTTTTAACCCTGTTTCACAAGATAGTTTTTTCCCCCATTGAAACACATTAATTACATTAGACCTACTTTTTTATCTCAAAAAAGTGGGGGAGAAAGCATATGCTGCTGGCTTTCCAGGGTCTGCCTCTTGGACAACTAGCAAAATTACATTAGACCTACTTTTTTATCTCAAAAAAGTGGGGGAGAAAGCATATGCTGCTGGCTTTCCAGGGTCTGCCTCTTGGAAAAATAGCAACATACACTTTCTCCCCCACTTTTTTAGGATAAAAAAGGAGGTCTTATGTAATTAATATATTTCATAAAAAAGGAGGTCTTATGTAATTAATATATTTCAACGGGGAAAAAACCATCTTGCAAAACATTGCAAATGGGGCTATGGCTACAAATTTAAATGGAAAGAATAGTGAAAACAGTTATGAACTAAAGGGTAAAGAGATTGTAGAAAAAAACCAGGGAAATCACAAGTGCAAATTCCCATTAACACAAATTGTGCAATTGAGTTCCCCGCATTTGGGGAAAATCACAGGGATCAGCAATACATCCAAAGTGCAACGGACAAGTCTTCCTCTGGAAAAACCACTTTTACAACATGGTATTTCCTCTGTATGTGTTGGAATGGTTCTTGCACCTCATACCCCCTTCTGTCCCCGTTCTTGCGCCTCATACCCCCTTCTGTCCCCTGACCCCCCAAAGGTATGGTGACCCCCTGGCTGCACCTCCCACTCAGTACAGGGCTGCACAGCCCCAGTCCTGCCAGAGGCCAAGAGAGCTCCTCAGTGTTTTGGGGTTCCCTGCTGGACCCCCATCAAGGGCTAGGTGTTCTTCCCACAATCCTCTAGTGCATTGGTGTTAGCATAATTTATGTTTTATGTTAATAGGAAATTTTGATTTCTGTTTTAGATTCCTTTCCATCTTTTTCTCCTCATCAGGGCCTATTGCAAAGGCAGTAAGTTCTGGTGATGTCTTATATTATATTCTTCTTTTTTTCCCCAGTGGTAAAGGAACAGGACAAAAGGAGTCACCATTATAAGGAGCCAAGGGGCTGCTTTGGCTCCTTTCATTCTCTTTCTTTGTTGCTGGAGAGAGAAAGAGGGGGAAGGCTATCTGAGACCCATTGAATTATGAAAGACAGTGTAGGTGAGGGGACTGTTTTTTCCTCAATATGGGATGGGGAACTGTATTTTGCAAGATGATATCTTCTATGGACAATTTTTGCAAGACAGTGATTTTTTTTCCCAATTGGAAAGCATTAAATAGATTTTAATCCATTCCAATAGGGAATGAATGAATTAAAATCATCTTGTGAGACACCACTGTACAGTCCAGTACATCTGAAGTGCTTCGCGTTGGAGAAAGTAGGTGTCTTGGCAGTAGAGAGTGAAAAGGATGGGTGTGTGCCTGTGTAGAAACCTAAGCAGAGCAGCATGGTTCAACATGGTTTTATAGAGTGGGTTTGGTCTCCTTTTTGCCTATGTAAATCAGTGGAGCGTTCTCTGTCCCTTCCCCTCTTGCAGTTATGTCTGTCCATCCCCTTGTACTAAGCATGAAGTGGAGTTTGAGTTTGTAGAAAATCCTAAACTCCTAACATGAGCAGGATCCTAGCTAAGAAGCATTGGTTTACGCTTAAATGTTTGAATTTAAAGGCAGAATATGGAGAAGATTTGCCTTGAAAGAGGATGGTTCTGGATAGTTCCACCTTCCTTTAATTGGTGTCTGAGGAAAAAAAGCTTCATGCTCCTGTCCCACTGTAGGATAGGGAAGGAGCAAGGATATGGCATGGGCACATTTGAGGAGTTTGTTGGGAATAACTGTTTTTACTAGAGATGGGCATGAACCTCCCTTCCCCTTCCTCCCTAGCCACTCAGCAGTTGGCGCATGCTCCTCTACGGGTTTGCTTGTCCTGCCTCCTTGTCTGAATGGGTGATCAGCTAAGGAGGCAGGGCAAGGAAGCCTGTGCTCCTGCCAGAGATTGGTCAAACAGCTGAAGAAAAGGAGGAGAGGAGCGTGCACTTGCTGGTGAGTGGGGGGAAGGGAATGCGTGGCACCTGTAGTACCGTGAGTACAAACTGGCACGAACCTCCAACAAACCAAGGGTCATGCCCATCTCTAGTTTTAACCAAGGGCATAAACTCTTTTCTCTGTGCCCATTTCTGGGGCAGTTGCTAGCATAGACTGGGTAGGATCCTATGAGATGCCATGGGCTTGTTCCAGATCATCCTGACATCTTAAAAGGCACCATAAGGACAAGTTTCTGAGAACTCGAGAAGTTGTGTAAAATTTGTGTCAAAATTCCTTTGTCCTCTTCTCTGTTTGGGTGGAGTCATGTGGGTAAAAGGGTATAAGCTGTCCCCTTTCTCCCCCTTGCAGCTGGGCCTGTGGAGTCATCTTTTTCACTCTCTTAGCCGGCTCTCCACCCTTTTGGCACCGCAAACAGATGCTGATGCTTCGGATGATCATGGAAGGGCAATACCAGTTTGGCTCCCCTGAATGGGATGATCGATCTGACACAGTCAAGGATCTGGTAAGATAAATGCTACTTTTTTTTTTTACTTTTCCTGGGATTGTGCTTCACAAGTGAAACAAGATCTTTCCCAGGAAGACCAATTCTATATTTTATCTGCACTGTGCAAATTAAGCCTATTCGCCCATTTGGCTTAAATATAGTTCTCTTTGTTGAGAAGAAACAAAGAGTTCGTGTATGCCTTTGGAGCCCTGCTGTTCACTATTCTCCAGTGCACAGTGGGGTCTCGACTTACGAACGGCTCGACATACGAATGTTTCAACTTACGAACCGCTGGCATAGGAATATATGGACTCGACTTACGAACTTAGATTTGAGTTACGAACCCCCCCCCCCCCTTTTTTTTAAAGCTAAGTCATCTTAGGTTAAAAGGCTACTTTTTTTTTTTACTTTTCCTGGGATTGTGCTTCACAAGTGAAACAAGATCTTTGCCAGGAAGACCAATTCTATATTGTATCTGCACTGTGCAAATTAAGCCTATTCACACATTTGGCTTAAATATAGTTCTCTTTGTTGAGAAGAAACAAAGAGTTCGTGTATGCCTTTAGAGCCCTGCTGTTCACTATTCTCCACTGTTTTAGTAGCCTGTGTGGTTTCAAACTTGGCTTCTTAGCCTTCAGAAACAGAAACTTGCCACTGGTGGTTTTCCAATGAAAACTAGGGTTCTTAGGATTTATGGGTGTGTTTCTACTATTTTCACTTTTAATAGCCATGCCTTGAAATATATGGGAAATGGGAGGGAATCACACAAGGACATTCAAGGGGCGGTTGCTTTGTGATGGCTGCTATTATAGCAAACCTGTACAGTCTCCTGGTTGGTTAGTTTAACTGTCAATATTCCACCATGGAAGTAAGGTGCTGATTGGCTGGTTTAAATGTCAAGAGTCCGTGCTTGTGGGTTGTTAATAAAAAGGGATCTGGAGGAATAGCAGAAATTTTGTGAAAGAGGCTAATGACTAACTGGGAAGCCAATGTGTTACGTTGGTCAGAAGATGAGACTAGGACTGAGGTGATGCAGTTTGAAATCTCCGCATCATCTTTGGAACCCACTGGATGACCATCAAATATTCTCAACCTACATTACCTTGTAGGTATTGGACTGCACCACCCAGCATTCTGTTATACTGGAGATAATGGGAAATGCAGTCACCCTCAGCTCCCTTGAAGAGTGGCAGGGTGGGGATTTAACAAATGGGCATCTGTTTACTCCGAGTTCCTCACCCATCCATTTTGTGATCCGACATTGCCTCTCTTTGCTACTGACTTCCTTAAAGTACCTCCTTGATTACCTAGAAATCTTGTTGTTTCTTGAAGATTTCACGATTGCTACAGGTGGATCCTGCAGTACGTTTGACAGCTGAACAAGCTCTGCAGCACTCTTTCTTCCACCGCTATGGGAAGGAGTGCCGGCATTTCAGTCCCTACCGAAAATTCAGGGTAAGTCTCTCTCCATCTCCTAATAGATACATTTTTATTGATTGTTTTCAGGAAATTTTTGTCCGTTGTTCAGCCAAAGCAGCTCTCGGAGCAGAGGACAGATGCCAATAAAACAAGGCTGCCCCTGTGTGCAGGATTACCGTCTAAAAATCATGCCACATTAAGCACAGGGGAGTGGGAGGGAAGAAGGAAGGAAGGAACAAACCTAAGCATGAAATCTGAAATGATTCTGATCATTACAAGCTGGAGGGAAAACAGTTCAGGGAGAGGAGGGTCCTGGTGGAATTGGCCAGCATAATTTTTTCCCCTCTCTGATAAAGTCTAATCTGTTGCTACATTTTATTGATTTACCATAAACTCTGTACCCCATTACATATTTGAATTGGATATTTCTCCACAAACACCTCAGCTGGAGAATGATGGGCTCTTTCAGGGTCTTGATGTTTCGCCTTCCTGTTACTTTGAATACTCAGTGCCTTGTAACTTTGCCTCCTCTGTCTTTTCCCTGTCTGTTCAAACATTATGGTTTGTTTCATGTTCATTTCCTGCAGAGTATTTGATTTCATTCCCTTGGTCCCTGTCTTGGTGCTACCTTCTGTGCTGCTCAACCAGCTCAGTTTCCAGACCTTTGTGGCATTTCCCCCTTTCTGATTAAACTTTCATCTTCCTTGTCTGCAGTGTTCCATCAACTAGAAAAAGCTATCTCTCTAGGTAATCTAAATGAATTTCTCAAAGTTTTGAGCAACGACTTACCGTAATTCTGAACAAGACACCTTCCCATGCTCCTCTTTGTCCTTTGCTCCCAAACAGATAGGAATGTGTGTTCTGAGCAGGGCCTGCTGCAACATGGGTGGTATGATTTAAAAATACCATTTATGTTTACCCCACCCTTCTTTAGACCCATTGCTTTTTCACGCTCTAGTTTATGCAGCTCTAATGAATTCTAATTCATCCAGAGTGTAATCTATTTACTCTGGACAAGGAACTATTGTTAGAAAGGAATATAGAGAAACACAATGGCTTCTAATTAGCTAAGGCATCAACCAAGGGTGCTTTTTATCTCTATTCAGTCTGTATGCAGCACATAGATGGGAAGTTGGATCTCAGTCTGATGAAAGAGGGGTAAAAATGGGTGGAAATTTTCAGTAATTTAAGACTTGCAGGCATTAGTGGCAGAAAATAGCAATGACATGAACAACTACTGGGGAAGATTAGAGAAGAAAGTGCAAAAGAGGATTTAAGTGGAACATTAAGGAGATAAAAATAAAGATTAAAGAACAGCTACGTAACTTGAATGTTGAAAGATTTTCTATATTAAAAAGAAATTAGAAGAAAACTGAGATTCGGAAAGGCAGTGATGAAGCAACTAGAAAAGATCCTCAAGTATAAGGATGTGTCATGGGAGAGCAAGACTATCTATGATCTGATGTGATATATGATATCATTAAACGGACGTGAAAGTTGGATGATGAAGAACATTGACAAGAAAACAATAGACTCATCTGAAATGTGGTATTTTAGAAGAGCTTTACAGACGAACCACCAGAAAGACAAATACATAAAATCAAGCCTGAACTCACTCAAGAGGCAAAAATGACAGTCCCAGAGCAACCCCCCCCCGAAATAAGGGAATGGTAAAGCACTTCTAAGTACTCTTTACTTAGAAAGCCCTGGAAAGGGCCATTCATCATAAGTCATAATCAACCTGAGGGCACATAATTACTATTATTTAATTACATTGGTAAGAAGTACCCCAGTGACAAAATGCAATAGATTGTTAGGGATAGTTTTATTCCCAGCCTTTTTTTCCTCATTAACCCTCCCCACCAACTAACTCCAACATGTTTACCCAATGTTGTGGGATGTCTGTCTTCTAAGCTTAGGTTTGTGTGGATTTTGACGAAATCTGACTGGCTGGGAGATTAAACCATCCCGTTCCGTTGCATGAGAGCCCAGTGGTTACAATGTGCATGCCATTTGTGATTTCTTGCCTCTTACCTACTGCAGGTGATAGCATGGACAGTGCGGGCCTCCATCCGCATCTTCTTCAACTACCGACGGGTACGGCCAGTCACTAAGGAGCTGCTGCTGTGCGAACCTTATGCGCTCAAGGGAGTGCGTAAATTGATTGACGCCTGCGCCTTCCGCATCTATGGCCACTGGGTCAAGAAGGGTGAGCAGCAGAACCGGGCCGCCCTCTTTGAGAATGTTCCAAAGGCCATCCAGCTGGTCTTGCTGAGCACAGAGGGGGAGGAGGGCCCTTACTCTGCTGTGGAGGACCCTCCCAACTAGAGTGTTTACTGCTGCTCTCTCTGCAGTTGCAGGAGAACTGAGACTCGGATACTGTAATGAAGAGGGAGGCAGGAGCCGCAGCAAGCCCTGGGCTCCCCTCCCTCCCTCAGCACTACAGACCACCCCTGCCAAGTACGCCTGCCATTGCATGCCAAGGGGTCTAATTTTCTGGGAACAGGAACTTTGGGAATCTGGGCTCATGGCTGATAGGAACAACAGTCTCCTAACATTCTTGGAAAGGGACCCTAGAGCTATGTAAGTTAGGAATATAGAGCCACCCGTATTGTCTGATATGGAAGCATTAGGAAGAATCAGGAAGAGAATTTTTTCATCTGTGCAGAGTAAGAATTATGGCCTTTCATATATCTGCCCCACAGTACAGAAAGCTCCTTCCTCCCCCTCCAATAAGCGAGTTTTCCTATTGCTAAGGGAACAAGCATCCTTGTATGGTTAGTATGGGTGGGAGGGATTGGGATCAGACTATTACATTTTACCTCCCTTTCCAGACGAAGAGAGAGTGGGCTTGGCTCCTCTCTGTAGAATCATGTCCTTTATGTGGTTACGTCATCTCTCCCCCTCCCCTGCCACTACCATGTCAAAATAAAAATGGAACAAGACCAAAACCGACTTCTAAGGTGGGCTTCCTTTATTTCCCAAGATAGGCACGAGGCATCCGGAGCCTGCATGCAGCTGACACAGACACGAGTGCAAGAGGAGGGCAGGGAGGGGGTGGTGTTGTGATAGTAATGCTGGATGAGCAGAGAGTGTGTACATGGCTCCAGAATTTGCACAACATTAAGCTGAACTGAGCTTAAAGGAAAGTCTGGAAAAAGCCACCAGCACAGTTTCACTTGGTAGCCACTCCATTAAAAAATACAGAGGAAGGCAACCTGGTGCCCTCTGGCTGTCATTGAGCTGCAGCTCCCATCCCCTCTTGCTGTTGGCCCTGCTGGCTAGGGTGGGTCAAAGCTGGAGCCCAACATTTGGAGTGCCGCAGTTGGCCCACCTCAGTCTCAAGGACCACCTGGCTGCTGTTTTGCTACTTGCACAACCACATTCCAGATGATGCTCCTAATGTTCAGGAATCCTGGTAGTTGAGGGGGAAAGGTTTCCAGCCACACAACAGTTTTACAAGACAGTTTAGGTGCTGAAGAAAAGGCCAGGTTCAGAAACTGGAGAGAGGAACTGCTGATTGGTTCGAAGGCTCTTTAATATCTTAGCTATTAGGATTTCACATCATATTCACAGCATGTACCTAGCATTTTCTAATAGAGATGTATCTCTAGGGATTGTGCACAAATGACTCTGCACTCTAAAAGACTGAGAAATCCATCTGCTGCCTGCTCTCCAACCTGAGTAGGTCACTTGTGAACCTCCTAAGGTTGGACTACCACGCCCGTCTGCCCCTTGCCAGCATAGCCAATGGTGAAGGAGTCTGGGAGTTATAGGCCAACATCTGGAGGGCCACAAGTGGCCCATCGCTGGTCTGAAAGTATTATCACAAGCTCTCTTTACCCTCCTTGCCTCTCATCTATGGCATGGTTTATGAATGGATCCTTAATGATCTTTGAGAGCTCCAAAGGCAAAGTAAACAGGTTCTAATCTAAATCAGGTTTCCTCTTATTCTCTTCTCCACTCCGAGCTTGCTCACTTTTTCTTGCCTTTATTGCTTCCCTTGCCAGAACCACTCCCCTTCTCCAGTTGGACTAGTTTGGCATTGAACTGCTCTTCTGTGGTCTTTAGACGTTGTTCTACCGAAAGGCGCAGCTGAGCCAGCTCCTGGGTGAGCTGGGTTGAGATGTACTCCCGCAGGGCAGCAGTTGGACCTAGAAGAGGGAGAGGCAGCATGAATTTTAACACTGGCATTTCCAAGTGCATTCACCCAGCCATCATCAGCATCAGTTCGGGATCCCCATCCCTCAATACTTTTATTAAGTCTTAATATTTAAAACTTTCCATGTGTTATCTTGGTGATATTTATAGTAGTATGTTTACCCCTGTACCGCAAATGGGTTGACTGAGACTAAAAGAGATCTCTGAGTTTAAAGACTGAGACAAAATCTCACCTAAAGCCATTGTGGGTCACCCTCTTAAAAGGCCCCTACAGTCCATCTGCCCCAAACTCTGCACCCGCTCAGCCATTCCCATCTTACTTTCTTCAGGTGTAACCAGTGTCTGCTCTGTTTCTTCCGCCAAAGGTGACAAACCTCCTTCTACACTCTCAGCCATTGGTTCTGTTAAAAACGAGGAAAATAGATATGAAACCCTTTGGAGGAAAAAGTGGGATACAGGAATAATCGTATCCTTTTCCTCATTAAATGTTTCTATACCATCTGTTCATAGAATAATATGAACATTTTTTTAAGCCTCAGCCAAGTCTGGAAGGGTGAGCTTTATAAAATGTCAGTACTTGTTGGACCATTGTAGTTTCTATTACGAAGTCTTAATACTTGTCAAAACGTTGGGCAAATCCTGATCCAAAGTGATCATGCCAGGTCCCAACAAAGGGAAGGCCACGTCTAAGGGCAGAATACAGGGCTTTGTATATTGAAGGTTTCAGGTTCACTTCACAGCCATCTGGAGTTGAAAGAATCTCAGAGTGGGAATGGTGCCATTGCCCAGCTCACTGAGGATAATGGGAGTTGTGGTCCAACACATCTGGAGAGCTAATGGTTAGGGAAAAAAGTCCTTTTCAACCTCTGCTTTAGTTGCAGCTGTTGATAAACTCTGTTTTGACCTAGGAGGAGCCCTTGTTTACAAGGACAGGCGGCTTAGTTTGTTCTTGTCTCTTTCACATCCTCGCTGGTTTAACTGGAGAGCTCCCTCAGATATGGCTGGAGGGAAAGATCCTGGCATTCCCATATTTACCTTCATCTTTAGCCTCTGGTTCAGGCATCCCAATATAGGTAAATGAGATGTCCAGTCGCACCTAGTGAGGAAAGACAATCCAGGACTGTGAGCTCAAGGCAGCTAACTAACCCCTTGGGTTCTTGCTTTATGATCCTTGACTGCAAAAAGAGGAACTCCTTTACCTGTGGTGTGAAAGCATATTTATAAAGTTTGTAGTGGCGAAAGTAGGTGTTGATCATGTAATCTGTGATAAGCACCAGCTGGTCCTGATTGAAGAGATCAATGCTGAAGGGGGGTCTCTAAAAAGGGGAGGAGGAGGAAAAGGTTGGTAAGAGAAGAGTAGGTGCCGGAGATTGCCATGAAGTATTTAGTGCCAGGTTGTCCTAAGTCATCTGTGTGGCACCTGTTCACTTCCCCCACCCCCTTGCCAGTGCCCTGACTCATCAGCCAATGAGTGTTGCTTGTTCCCTCCTTGTCACGTGATCTTCCAGTCTGGGCAGGAGCCCAGACTTCCCTTCTCCGCCTCTTCTAGCAGCTGGCCATTCAGATGAGGAGGTGGGGCAGGGATTCCTGCAGTGCTGCCTGTAAGTGGCCAGCTGCTGGAGGAGGCAGAGAAGGGAAGTCCATGCTTCAAAGTGCTTTGTGCCCATCTCTACTAGGTGCCTTTCCCACCACATATGCATTGCTGCAAAGGGACATGTGATGTTCACTTAGCTGAATCCATGGCTACACTCACCCGAATAGAGTGGCAGAAAACCAGTTCGGAGAAATAGTTGTAGCATTCCTCCACATTGGGCAGGGGTGTTTCTAAAAGGAAAGAAAGCAGTGGCCATGGACAGGAGATCCAGTTTGAGCTTGCCCCTCTCATGTTCTGGTCTATTCAAATCCTTACTCAGCAGGTTGGCTCCTCCATGGGAAAACAGCAGCACCAGCTTGGATTCACTGGGGCTTGAATTTATTTATTCAAAATATTTATATGCCCCCTTTCTTCCAAAGGATCCAAGGCAGCTTAAGGTATTTAAAATAAACAGTTAAAACCCAAATACGGTAATAAATTATTTGTACTGCAGCGAAGACTCTGCTCACGACCTGGCTCAGGTAACCAACTCATGGTTGACTCAGCCTTCCATCCTTCTGAGTTTGGTAAATTGAGTACCCAACTTGCAGGGGGTAGGGTAGAGAATGTGTAGCAAGCATAATTAAATTATAAATTGCCCGGAAAGTCCTCTAAGCTCTATGGGGCAGTATATAAGCAGCACGCTTTGCTTTCACACTCGACTTTGGCTGGCAACCTTTGAGGTGCTAAGGAAAAAAACCAGTGTAACCTGTAAAACTAAAGTTTGTGTTCTTCAAGTTTACTTACCCACACAAGCCTCATGTACGTCCTTCACGATTGAGAAGAAGGCTGAGGTCTGTTCCCGATTGAAACTCTGCTCCCGGCTGAACTGGATGGTGTAGAAATATAGATCCAGTAAGATAGCGGACCGTGGGTTGGAGTGGAAATCCTGCAGATTCAGGAGCTCTGCAAGAAGGCTGTGGAGGAGAAAGACAAGAAGGGAGGTCCAGTGACCAATATTTTACATGCCAGGATTTCCATCTTCCCAATTATATCCTGTCTTCAGTTGCCTTAGAGTCCGTCTTTATTGCCACAACAAGCTGACTCTATGTAAGAGGAAAGGGGTGGAAAAATCTGTGGCCCTCCAGAAGTTGCTAGTCTGCCACCCCTCTTGTCCTTTAGCACTAGCTATAGTAACTGGGACCCATAAGAATGAAAGTCCAAAAACATGTTTTATAGGTGGCACATGACCCCAGAAAAATTGTCAAAGATGTATACAGATGTATCAAATAAGTGTTGGAAATGTGAAGCACAAGTGGGAAGCTATTATCATATGTGGTGGTCATGTGGAGTAGTGAAACAATATTGGAAAAGAGTACATGCTATGTTGCAACAAATATTGCTCTGTAAGGTGCCATTAACCCCAGAACTGCTTTTATTATGATACCTGATAATATAGATGTCAAAGTAATACATAGTTATATATATTATAACAGCAGCCAGAATTCTAAATGCTAAAAATTGGAAAAGCCCAACAGTACCGAAACAAGAAGATCTTATTGAAAAGATACGGGAAATAGCCGAAATGGATATTCTATCAGAGGTTATGAAGGACTACGGTATCCCTTCCAAAAGGCATCAGAAAGATGGGATCTATTCAACAAGTGGACTGTATCAACAGGCGGTGGGTGAATAGCACATATTGAAATAAGAACTTAATCTAGAAGGGCAGAAAAGACAAACAGAATAATTAAAAAAATTGATATGACAATAGGTATAGAATGGATATTAGCATGTTATTGTCTCCCCTTTTCCTCATTAATTCCAATTCCCTTTTTCCTTTCTGTCATCCCTTATGTTAAAAAATTAAAAAAATTGGGGGGGAAAAAGAATGAAAGTCCAAAAACAGCAGGAAGGCCATGTACCCCTGACCTTGCCATTAAGGTGCTTGGTTTCATCGCGAGCCTGATTCTTATATCTTTTCTGTGCCTAAATACTGTATATAGGTGCGAATGATGCCATCTTGGTAAACTCTTTGACAGTACCTACTTTAACCATAATAGTCACTGCTGGTTGTATTCTCCTCTTTCTATTCAGCTAGATAGCTCAGTGGGTTAGATATCTGGCTGCAGAGGCAGAGATTGGGAGTTTGATTCCCTACTGTGGGAAAGATCCAGCCTGTGTGGCCTTTGGCAAGCTGCAGTGCCAGGGCACCCCCAGAAGAAGGGAATGGTAAACCGTTGCTGAGTGTTTTCTACCTGAAAAGCCCTGAAAATGGTTGCCATAAGCCAGAATTGACTTGGCGGCACATGATGATGGTGAAGATGATGATTACGTGATTTTTTTAATTTTTTTTTTTACTGTCTTCAGTCTGTTTTTATGATTTTTGAATCAGGGCTATGAATTGGGGCTTCAAGGAAACCTGGTTGTTTTTATCAGAAACCAGACATTTAAAAGGACCAAAGCTTTAAATACTCAGCTCTTCAAATACTTTTATATATTAAAGGCAGGTATTTAAAATTCTGAGAACAACTGCGGCATGCTTTATATGTCTGATAACTGCTACATAGAAGTTCAGTCCTGGATAGACGTGAAATGAGCTGTACGTTACAGACTTCTTAGGCAAATATCCAAAGGAGAAAAACGCGTCCTGGTGCTGCCTCTTTCTGCTTTGACCCTGCTTAATCGGTCCATGTCCTGCTTTTGGTGTTTTTTTTTAACCCCAAATGTGGTCAGAATGCAGACTCTAGAACGCAGCTCAGTCTTTGTGCCAGAAAAAGCAATCCCAGCTTTGAGGTAGAGGAATATCACCCGATTTTACAGTTGTGCACTCTGTTATATATTGCAAACTGCATTGTTAAAATGTAGTTCTGCATACTTCCCATTTTTTCCTTTGGCGAACCACCAACACAGGTAGTCATGAGATGTTTCTCAAACGTAAAACTGTCCTCACCTCTTCAAATCATCGGTGGTTTGGGTCTCGTTGATGAGATCCATACAGTGAACATCTAGATATTTCCTGAAATAGTGAGAATAAGGAAAAGCAACTGAGAAGAGTGATTGCGTGTTGCTTGGACATACAGGCAAAATCTTAGGTGTAACAAACAGTGCAACTCTATCTGTATCTATGGAGAAGTAAGGATTATTGTGGTCAGTGGTGCTTGTTTCTATGTAAATGGGTACAAGGTTGCAGCCTGAATATTAGAGAACCAACAATACCAAAATGTGTGGGGTTTAGCAATGAAATCACATGAAGCTTTTTCTGGAATGGGATGTGGCTTTTCACACTTTTTCAAATGGATATGAAGAGTTACTCACCACATGCATATCTTTGCTTTATGTGGATGAGGCTGGAAGGAAAAATAAGGCTTTAGTTAGCTTTTGGATATATTAGATTAGTTACTAGTTAATCATCAATGATGATTTGAGCAGAAGATTCTTTTGCCAGTCTTTATCATGTTTGTAAACTAATATTGAGGTACAGTGGGGTCTTGACTTGAGAACTTAATCCGTATTGGAAGGCGGTTCTCAAGTCAAAAAGTCTGTAGGTCAAGTCTCCATTGACCTACAGTGCATCATATCTTTGCTTTATGTGGATGAGGCTGGAAGGAAAAATAAGGCTTTAGTTAGCTTTTGGATATATTAGATTAGTTACTAGTTATTTCAATGATGATTTGAGCAGCAGATTCTTTTGCCAGTCTTAATTAGATTGATCACGTTTGTAAACTAATGTTGAGGTCTTCTGTACATTTGTCTTCTGAGAACCATACTGACACAATTTGAACCTAAATTTTGCGGCCAGAGAAGTCTGTAACTCAAAAAGTCTGTAAGTCAAGCCGTCTGTAAGTCAAGGGTCCACTGTATTCTATACATTTCTCTTCTGAGAACCATACTGACACAATTTGAAATATAATGACACATTTTGAAGGAAGGAAAATGGATTGCCAATCCATTTATGTCACTGTTTCTAAAAAGCTGAGGATAGGTATCCAATAATAAAAAATCTCCATAAGATCTAGAAGGCATTTTGACTGAGAGCAGGGGAAAACCCAGCTCCTCTGAGCCAGTGTTATCCAGGCAGCCCTTTGCCTTGCCCTTTCTGTTGAATTATTTCATATGTCATTTGTTGCATGCCCATCTCAGGCATAGGTGCCACTGGGGCATTTTTAAAACCCTCCCAAGAATTCTGCTGGGTAGAGACTGAAGGAGACAGAGATTGCCCATAATTATAACAAGTTCCTTGGAGTAGACTGGAATATGATCCCAGGCCTCTGGTTATCATACCTTGGACACATCAAGGAAGAGCAGTAGAAAAAAGGAGGAAGACTGAGCATGAGATACATAGAGTCAGGAAAGGACGTCACAGCCTTTAGTTCACAGGACCTGAGCCAGGCTGTTCAAGACTAGAGCTTTTGAATTCCTAGAACTGCCATAAATCAGAAGTGATTTTATCACAAATAAAAACTCTGGGCTTTAAATCCAGTACTCTGTTACAATACACTGCTATTAGTTTTGTTATCCAAATACAGTAACCTATAATGCTCATAAAAAGATTTTGCTGCTGATAAACAGCAAATTATTTACAATAAAATAATGCTGGTTGTTACTGTGCAGAAGCAAGATTGCCCATTTTCTAATCTCAGGCTTCTCTTCTTCCCTGCCTTATTTTCCTTTAAAAAAATCTGTTATTTCAACAGCTGTATGACAGGCCGGTATTCAACAGGTGCTTTTCCAACGACAGCACCGGTTGAATGTGTGCCTCGCGATGCTGCTGTTAACACAATCTCCCCTCCCCACACACACACACGAAAAAAAGAGCCAGAAATGTTTATTATTGTACGGATATTCCTAAATCCACGCCCCTTTCACCTGTTCCAAGCATTCAGGTCCCATCCCTCTTTTTGGCAGCGAAGGGGTGAAAAAACCACGCGTTGCCATAGCAATATTTCCTCCAGCGAATCAACATTCCGTCTGTACGAGTCCAATCAGAATAGGGAATATTGGAAAGGGGGCGGGGCAAATGAGAAGCAAGCGAGCGCTTCGCCAATCACAAATGACCTCTTCGCGGTGGGCGGGAAACAAGTACAGGTAAAGGATTCACTGAGCTGTGAATATATTCGAGTGTGTAAAAATGGATAAAAACGTAAAGCCGCCGTTCTCTGTGGGCTCCAAAGAAAGAAATTTTGCCTTTTCAACCATTTCTATGGGAAATATAGGGTGTTGCTTTTAGTAAAAATTTCACACCTGACTTCTAAGCTTGAAAAAAAAATATTTTTTTACATCGGAAACTCACGGAAATAATTGGCATCGTTTACATTTCCTATCTCTAGGAAAGGATAACGTAACCAATTGCAAATCTCCCCCTCGAGCTCTTAGTCCAATCACATTCTCCGCGGAACGTCGCTCCTTTCGCCATTCATCCAATCCTAACAGCCCTTCTTGTGCCTCGCGATGCTGCTGTTAACACAATCTCCCCTCCCCACACACACACACGAAAAAAAGAGCCAGAAATGTTTATTATTGTACGGATATTCCTAAATCCACGCCCCTTTCACCTGTTCCAAGCATTCAGGTCCCATCCCTCTTTTTGGCAGCGAAGGGGTGAAAAAACCACGCGTTGCCATAGCAATATTTCCTCCAGCGAATCAACATTCCGTCTGTACGAGTCCAATCAGAATAGGGAATATTGGAAAGGGGGCGGGGCAAATGAGAAGCAAGCGAGCGCTTCGCCAATCACAAATGACCTCTTCGCGGTGGGCGGGAAACAAGTAAAGGATTCACTAACCTGTGAATATATTCGAGTGTGTAAAAATGGATAAAAACGTAAAGCCGCCGTTCTCTGTGGGCTCCAAAGAAAGAAATTTTGCCTTTTCAACCATTTCTATGGGAAATATAGGGTGTTGCTTTTAGTAAAAATTTCACACCTGACTTCTAAGCTTGAAATATATATATTTTTTACATCGGAAACTCACGGAAATAATTGGCATTGTTTACTCTACATTTCCTATCTCTAGGAAAGGATAACGTAACCAATTGCAAATCTCCCCCTCGAGCTCTTAGTCCAATCACATTCTCCGCGGAACGTCGCTCCTTTCGCCATTCATCCAATCCTAACAGCCCTTCTACGCACGCGTCCAACCGCCGTTCGAAGGGTCATCTCGCCCATTGTGTCCCTTTGAGCCAATAGAAAAAAACCCTTCGCGGAATTTCTTGTCAGGAAGGCGGTCGTTGTTGGCGCTTGCGCGGTCGGGGAAGAAGCTGCGGGCGAGGGCTGGGGCTGGGGCCCCTCCGAGAACGGTCTGTGGGGAAGGGGGGAGCATGCGCAACAGCGTCGGTGGCGTCTGTGGCCCGAAGCATCGCATGGGGGGAGCGCGAAGAAGCCGCAGGTGTGGGGGGCGGGGGCGATCGGGCAGGTGCGAGGGAGCCACAGAGCAGCCCCTCCTCCGCCGGTGGGTGTCTTGTGGGAGGTGGGTGGGAAACTTCCTTCTCCTCCCCTCAGACCTCTGCCCGTCTTCCCCTTCTTTCCCCCTCCTCACTGAGGTCTTCCTCCTTAACTGTCTCGATTTCTCCGTACCGCCCCCTCCCATTCCCCTCCCCCACCCCCGAGCACTTGCCTGGGATCAAACTGACAATTTTTTAAAAATAGTTCGTCAACGATGTTTGTAATCATCATCATCATCTGCCTTTGTGTCCATAATAATATATTTCGGGTCGGGGAGGGCGTGAAGGACACGAGGGTGCTGATTTTGGGAATTCTTGGTCTGGGGCCGGAAAAACAACAACCCCCCCCCCAAAAAAAATCCAACTGCAAGAGTCTTGGGGCGAGTTGTGTGTAAAAAAAAAAAGTTCGTCAACGATGTTTGTAATCATCATCATCATCTGCCTTTGTGTCCATAATAATATATTTCGGGTCGGGGAGGGCGTGAAGGACACGAGGGTGCTGATTTTGGGAATTCTTGGTCTGGGGCCGGAAAAACAACAACCCCCCCCCCAAAAAAAATCCAACTGCAAGAGTCTTGGGGCGAGTTGTGTGTAAAAAAAAAAAGTCAGCCCCAAAGTGGGAAGGATCAGTGTTCTGGCAAGGATGGGCTTCGATGTGCCTTAAAACAAACCAAAAAGACCCACCGAATCTGATAACATATTTCAGATTTCGGCAACTTGCTTCCCGTTTTACCCATTCTTCTTTTCCCCTTATTACAACCTCTCTGATGTTTTCCATTTCTGTTTTCAGCTCAGTACTTTTCCTTTTCCCTAATGCCTTTGGCTGCCTTCCCTTCTTGTTGGCCTCCCCTGCTTGTTAAAAGTTATATCTCCAGAGTACATCATTATATTCCTGTAATTTGTTTTACTGTATTTCCTGCCAGCACTCCCCCCACCCCATTCCCACATATATCTTCTCCTCCAAGCAAAGCTACTCTGCTTTTCACAGCTTTGCTATAGGCAGACAGCAGTTCAACAGGTGTTGCTTTCACATTATGCTCCTGTGTCCGGAAGCACTTATTGAATTACTGCCTGCCATGCAGTTCTTAATAGATACACCAGCAGCAGGAGAAGGGTGGAGAGTGAAACTATAATTACAAATTCAGTTTTTAAATATTTTTTCTGTCAGTTTCCTTGATCTCTATCTTAATGTTCTTGTATTTTTTTTCTGTACATTCTGCTAATGTTCATGCATTTTTCTTTGCTGTCTGCATATTGCTAATACTACGTATTGCCTTCACCCTTTGTCCCATGACTCTGGATAGATATTGGATAAGCAAATGCTTACCTTATAAAGTGGTATTAAACAGTGTTTGGATTGATGTCATAGCGATCCATTTATGAGCAACTGCAATACTTTTTTTCTTTTCATTTTTAGCTGAAGAGTTGTCTGCCTGATTCCTCTGCTTCTCAGCCTGCACTCAAAATCATCATGTCAGGGTCTGGAAGTAAGCGAGCAGCTGGAGATGGGGGCTCAGGCCCCCCTGAGAAGAAATCCAACAGGGAGGAGAAGACCACAACCACCCTGATTGAGCCCATCCGGTTGGGAGGCATCTCTTCTACGGTGAGGATGGGGTTGAGAATGGGGTGGGGATTGGAAGGTGTTGACCTCTGCCAGTTGATGCTTATTGTTCCTGTAAGTACTGTAATAGAAAAAAAAGGGTTTGGGAACTTTTATAAATGCCCTCCGGACTTTTAAAAAAGCAACCCAGTTTTAAGAGATTTTTAGTAAAGTCATAGACTTTTTAAAACTGGGACATTAAATTCCCAGGCATGGCACTTTGATTAGAACATGGGTGGGCAAATTTTGTTGCTTCCAGATGTGCTGCTATGCAGCTCCCATCAGCTCCACCTAATGTGTTCAGTGGAGAGGGACTGTGGAAGCTGTAGTGCCGGGCAAATGACCCTCCCCTACCTAGAAACTGGATCATGACATCCAGGGGTCTGCAATATTTCTACAGCTCTGTGGCAGAAGCTTAAAATAAGGTGCTGCTAGTGTGAATTTAAAATGGTTTTCTGATGCTTTTCCAAAGAAATATTGAAAGCCAATATCATGATCTGCCATAGGAGTTAAGATTCAAGCAGTGTTAATTGGGGATAATTGTGTCAGGAAGGAGATTACGCCTGCCTGATCCCCATTTAAGCAGGTTTTGTCCCCTCATTAATTAGCATTATGGATCACTTTAAAATAAACAGCTGGGAAGGAATTCATTCTACTCTTCATATGCTTAGAGCTGTCTTATGGGCCACAACATCTTACTTTAGGGAGGAAATGGTATTGCTTTCATTCTAAGGCGTGCTGGTATGTTATTAGACAATCTGCTATCTCCAGACATTATTCCGGCAGAGAAGTTATAAGACCTGCAAAATAATAGTTTTTCTGATCATGTTGCTTATACCTGTTTTTTCTCATCACCTTTCAAGGGCTTAATTGCAAGCTTTTGAATATGATTAGGGAGAACCTAATTGCTTTAAAAGTGATGCTATAAATGCTGATGGCCTTTACAACAAGTACCTCCTGACACATTCTTGGATGAGTGGGTAGAACCACTATGAAGCTTTAGAGTGGCTGTTGGAAACAATAATAGGTTGCATGATGTATTGAATTCTTTTGGGAATAATGCAGGGCTTCTTGTTGCAGGAAGAGATGGACCTCAAGGTACTTCAGTTCAAGAACAAGAAGTTAGCAGAACGCCTTGAGCAGCGGCAGGCCTTTGAAGATGAACTGCGTGAGCGCATTGAGAAACTGGAGAAGAGACAGGCCACCGATGATGCTACCCTCTTAATTGTCAACCGATACTGGAAACAGGTCAGAGTGTGCTTCTGGCTGATACTCTTTCTTTTCTCCCTGAAGTTTCTAATTACTAAGGTGACAGGTGCAAGTTTGATACTTAATTCACCATCTCTTGAAACCCTAGGAAATCAGCTGAGAGCCAAGCAGGATTTTTAGTGACTAGGAAGTGAAGCTCTCAGAGGTTTCTTCCTAGTCTTTCTCTGTGACTGGTGAAATCAGAACAAATCTAATGTTCCATTCTGTGTTCAGCTGATGTATTGGTCTGGGTATATTCCTGTGCCATTCCAAATGCCTTCCCTTTTCCTTTCAAACTCTCCTTCCTTTTTCCTCCCCTCTTCTTTACTCCTGCAGCTGGATGAGACGGTACAAGAGCTCCTGAAACGTTACGATGAAGGTTGTGAGCAGGCTGTAGAAGAACCCAAAATGGAGATACCTGGAGCGGAGTTGGATCCCAATCTTGTAGGGCAAGAAGGGATGGAGAGGAGAGGTGAGCCGTGCTTTCTTTCCTGACGGAGTCTGGTATAGATGGAACCGGGAGCTGATGCTGATCTAATTTGTCTGCTCCCTCCAGAGATGGTTCTGTCCCCGGTTACCCCCCCTGCCCCCTGGAAGCCCGGAGGTGCCATGCTGAACGAGCCAGCCCTTTCCTTCCTGGCTGCCTTGGCCAGCAGCAGCAGCGAAGAGATTGAGTTGCAGCTGCAGGAGCAAATGGAGTTCTCCAAAGCTGCCGTCTCCCGCATTGTGAAGGTTTCTGACAAGATCCACCGTCGCACTGAGGAACTCTGCCAGAAGATCCATGCCCGTGGTGAGGACCGACTGCTGTGCCGGGCGGATGGGGGGGGTCTTCGGAAGATTTGGGTAGCAGTCACGGCAATCTCTACATTTTACCCGCTGAGGCTCTGGTCAGTCATTGCTCAAGAAAAGGGATGCCTGAGATTTGGGGCTCTTCCTCAAAAGTGAAAAAAAAGTAGCAAACCCCCTCCCCCCAAACCAGGCATACCCGTTGTCTTCTTGTAGTAGCCAATATTATCTAAAAAGGTTTAGCATATGCTTAGAAAAAATCACTTGGCTGTGGTGAGGACTACCTCCAGGTTGAACACTTGGAGAAATTTGTAAAAAAAAAGTTTTTAAAGGGCTTTGTAGATGTTTCAGTCAAATGCCACTGGCATGTATGAACAGCCGGGCCCTTACAATAGCCTTGGAACTGCAGAGCTGGAAGGGACCCTACAGATCATCAAGTCCAGCCCTTGTTAAGGAGGCTCAGTGGGGGAATCAAACTCCCAACCTCTGGCTCTGCAGCCAGAGACCTCAACCCCTGAGCTTTACAGACTGATGCAGAAGGCTCTCTTAGATTATTGTGTGGGAGCTGCCAGAGAGTTGTTATTACCAACAGGAGAGTGTTCCAAGAAAGCGACTAAATTAAATTCTAATGTACGTTTATACTTGTGGTGCCTGGTACTTCTTTTAAAATAACACAAGTAACTCGCTGATCCAGTGGTAATTGGTACTGAATGGTTTTCTTTACCCTTACTGAACCATAAAGTTTAATTGTTGGGTATGTTAAATGCTTATCTTTACTGCAAGGTAAAGAGTGGAAAATCAAGATTTTTGGGTACTCTGGCTGTTCGTTCGATCATTCATTTATTTATTAAATTGTTTTCAAATATGATTTGGATTAAATGTGCACTGGTCTTGTGAAGGAGGCCATGGCTATTTCCTCCTTTGCAAAGGAATAGTTGAAGTTTTGAGAGAAATAATCTACCTCTGACCAAGGCTTTGCATCCATGTCCAGAAACAAGAACTGTAACATGGAGAGTGCACTAGTGATTTAAAGCAAATGTATGCCAGACTCTCTCAGGAACCTGTTAGTAGGCAGCATTTTATAGTAGAGGAACTAGAGAACTTGGAATAGCTAGTTTTTCCCCATGACTAGCCCTGGAATCGCACAGCCAGATGCATTGATCGACAATGCTAGCTGTAGGTTTTGTGGGAATTGTAATCCAAGATTACTTTCCCAAGACTTGATACAGAGAGTTACCGAAGTAGTCCAGGTTCTAATGGGTCTCTTCTTCCCCCAGTGGAATTTGACCAACTGGAAGAAGCGGTGAAGTCCCTCAACAGGGAGTTGACGAGAGAGAACCGACATCTGCAAGATCTAACTACTCAGCTGCAGGAGAAGCACCATAAGATCTCCCTGGAGGTAGGTGCTCCGTTGGCCACCGGCCGGGTCTTTCTGTGAAAGTTGCTGGGCTTAGGAAAAGAAGCCACTGTACTTTCAAGTGTGTTACGTTTGCTTGTCCTTCTCCCCCAACCCGCTTAGTATACAGAGCTGCAGGACAAGGTGACCTCCTCCGAGACCAAAGTGCTGGAGATGGAGACGACCATCGAGGACCTGCAGTGGGACATCGAGAAACTGCGCAAGCGGGAGCAGAAGCTGAACAAGCACCTAGCGGAGGCGCTGGAGCAGGCGAGTGAGGCCCCAGGGCGGTCCCTGTTCTGTCCCCTTCCATATACGATGCGCAAAAGCTCGTCTTGATGAAAAAGCCCTTTAGGCGTTGCTTAGACGACTCTGTTTTCCAAGCTCTGCTGTCACGTCTGCTGCTTGCTTCTTCCTCTAACAGGAAGCACCCAGCTTCTGCCATTTTAATTGTGGTCAGCTAGGCTTTGACACCTGTCAGAGGTCTGGCTGCTACAAATGCCCATTGGAAGGCCTTGGAGGGCTGCAATTTTTCCCATTCCCCCAACCCAGTATTTTTTTTAAAACGGTCTTCATCCTGGAAATTCTTCTTCGTGTTCTTTAGGGGACTTTTGGACATCTTCTGAATTTAGAAAAACTGGGTGTTTAGGGAGGCAGTGTTACTGGGGTGTCCCATAACATGGCAGAATTGCCTCCTTGGGAGTACAAGAGGATTTTAATTTTTTTGAGGAAAACGTTTTCTAATTTCCTTTTAAATTGGGGTGTGAGGAGGCCTTGGGAGCCACCTCAGGCCTTTGACATAGGCCCTTGGGCTACCTACACTTCGCCAGCGTTTGTTGTTAAGCCATCAGCAAGGGGTCTGTTTTTCAGGCCCTTTCTGATCCAGTGGCAAAGGGCAGGCAGGGTGTCGGCATTCTGCTACCCTGTTTTCCCGAAAATAAGACCTAACCTGAAAATAATCCCTAGGATGATTTTTCAGGATACTCGTAATATAAGCCCTACCCCCAAAATCAGCCCTCATTAAGTGAAGCCCTACTCTCTACCCTTGTGCAGCAACCAGAAGAGGAGGGCATGACAGTATTTGAATCAACATAGATGGTTGTACATGAAAAAAATAAAGCATGCCCTGAAAATAAGCCCTAATGTTTTTTGGAGCAAAAATTAATGTAAGACTCTGTCTTATTTTTGGGGAAACACGTTACTTGGAGCCCACATCGCCGGTGATGGGTAGGTAGCACGTGTGGCAGGTCAGGGCTCGGCTTGGAGCCCTTTCCTCAGTGTGTGTCTTGCAGAGCAGGAATGAGCAGAGGTGGCTGGACTGTTCAAGTGTCATCCGTTTTGTAAAATGGCTCTTGTTTCCTTGAGGACAGAACTAAGCCATGAGCTGCAAGGGAACGGACAGGCCAACCCCTTAAGGCCTATTTCAGTAGTATCCAGGGTCTTATCTTCAAAGAGGGGTTGCCTTTTTTGCTCCCTCATGAACAAACGTGTCCCAGAAAATGCTGAGGCAGAAATCCTACTCGGGACCCCTCCTGTTCAAGGAGCGATGTGGCTCGTGTACAGGAGGTATAAAGTGGGGCCTTTTTAATTGTGGTCTAAACTCATTGAACCAACTAAGGCCTGTTCTTTCTGCACCTGTGAAGAATTAGTTTTTCCATGTTTGCATTTTATAGAAATGTGTGTGGAGGGGCTGGCATCCCAGGAACTCTTCCTTGTCTCCTAATCAAAAGAAAGTCTATTTGGTTAATTTGAAACATTTTGCATCCATACTGGAGTCCATAAATGGGCTTCCAGGGGCTCATGATTTAGCGCAAAAGCCTTACTTTTTCTCTTGCATTAAATATATTTTACACAAAGTTTCAGATGCTCTTGTGTGTGTTTTTCAAGGTGGGGTGGGGTCTGTAGGTTTCATCAGTTTCTCACTTGGCTGTGTGACCCCAAATAACGTTAAGAATTACTCTTCTAGAAGATCATAGTTGTACTGTGCAAGTCTTTGAACTTGCGTCTCCCTTTCTCTGGCAGCTGAACTCTGGTTACTATGCGTCGGGTAGTTCTGGTGGCTTCCAGGGCGGACAGATCACTCTGAGCATGCAGAAGGTAAGTTGGAAAAAAAAATTAAGCTGGATTATGTGGAGTTTGGCTCCCCAACAGTCTTGTTTCAGATCTTGCTGACTCGTATATTTGGGGTTTTGCAGTTTGAGATGCTGAATGCGGAGCTGGAAGAGAACCAGGAGCTGGCCAACAGTCGCATGGCCGAGCTAGAGAAACTGCAGCAGGAAATGCAGCAGGCTGTGAGGACCAATGAGAAGCTCAAGGTATTTATTTTATTTATTTATTTATTGAGCTTATATGCCGCCCATTTAGACATAGTCTACTCTGGGTGGCTCACAAAACGCAGAATAAAAACAATTAATATAAAATAACAATTTACAACATTTACACAAAACAAAGTAGATAAAGATAAAGAAAAAGTTACATAGTGCCCGGAGGGAAGGCCTGTCTATATAACCAGGACTTGAGTTGGTTTTTGAAAGTGCCCAGCGAGGGGGCCAGATGGATCTCGGAGAGGTGGGAAGCTTGTTCCAGAGCCTGAGAGCCACTGCCGAGTGGGGGGGGAGCTTGTTCCAGAGCCTGAGAGCCACTGCTGAGAAGGCCTGGTGTCTTGTTTTTTCTTTCTGGGGCCCTCTCAGCGTTAGGCTCCTCAGTCGCCCCTCCTGGCTAGATCGGGTGATACGAGTAAATCTAGAGGGAGGAGGTGTTCCGCCAAGTATTGATGTCCTAAATCGTTTAGGGCTTTGTATGTGATCATTGTAAAGTAGGAGGGATGAGACTGCTTTGGAATCGGTGTGAAAATACTGTGCCCTCTAGTGGAAAAAGTAGGAGGGATGAAACCGCTTTGGAATTGGTGTGAAAATACTGTGCCCTCTAGTGGAAATGGCAAAGCCTACGTGTGAGCAGGAAGTCACAGGGGGAACTTCAGCCCTCCAGGGCAGATGTGGCCCATAGTCTGTTCCCATCTGGCTTTGTTTTGTTGAGTTTCAATGCTCAGTGGGGCAAAACAGAAGATTCCCACACACACACAGCCAGCATGGAAGATACCAAAACTTAATGTTCCTGTGTTTTCTTTGTTAAGTGGAAAACTTGGCTCATCTTCCTAGGGGCCCAGACTCTTCTTTAGTGGGAGCAGGACCCTTGGCCTCTGGTGTGCCTCTCTGGTATCTGATTTCCCTCTACAATTCATCCGATGACTTATACACTGACTTCCAACTACTGTACCTTTCTCTGTGACTGTTAGATTTTGATGCTGCTGTGAATATTTTTTAAAGGATCTGCTAATACTGCTCTGGGTGATGTGAGTTTAGAAGTTACTTTTTTCATGCTCCATCTCCCAGGCTGGATGGCTTGCACCTCTGAAGGTTTTCTAAAAGTAACTTCTCTGGGTTCTGCCAAGGGTGATGCTGACGCAAGAGTGGTGGTTGGACCCAGGTGGGCTTCCCTCCTAGGCGTGACTGTGCTCTGCTCTTTTCTGCAGGTGGCGCTGCGTAGCCTGCCTGAGGAGGCAGTGAAGGAGACCCTGGAGTACAAGGTGCTACAGTCCCAGTTCTCACTGCTGTACAATGAGAGCCTGCAGGTGAAAACCCAGCTGGATGAGGCCCGTGCCCTCCTGCTTACCACCAAGAACAGCCACCTGCGCCACATTGAGCACATGGAGGTGAGGTGCCAGGGGGTATGCCTTGTATGGTCATGCTTTCCCCTCTTGCAAGGTTGGACAGGTGCTTAAGCCTCTCCTTTGGGTCACTGGATTGAAGGACCATCCAAGTCTTCTTCTGGTGTCAAAGTCGAGAAGCTGACTTATTCAGGATAATGAAGGAAAAAGGGGGTGGTGTTAAGACCTGCTTTCAGTTTTGTATGGTGGGCATCATTGTTTCCTTTGCTGGCAACAGAGTGATGAGCTGAATTTGCAAAAGAAGTTGCGGACGGAGGTGATCCAGCTGGAGGACACACTGGCGCAGGTGCGCAAGGAGTACGAGATGCTGCGCATTGAGTTTGAGCAGAACTTGGCGGCCAACGAGCAAGCGGGTGAGATTGTATCCCCCTCCTATGGTCTCTTTACGGCTGTAGAAAAATATTCCCTCCTCTCTGTATGTTTATCATGGTCTGTTATGGGCAGATTTCCCTCTCCTTCATCCTTTGATGTGCAACATTGTTCTGCCAGAGAAGAGCACTCAAGCAGGAGACCATCCAACTGTGCCAAGTCCAATCACTTGTGGTTTGCATGGGTGGTGTGGCAGCCTTCACCTTGGCATGTGGAAGGCAATTACGATTCTTCCCTCCAACCTGAAAAAAGTCCACTGTTTCCATGGGCTGTGGTCGTGCCACCACCACCACCACCATGTTCCGGGTGCTTGTGATCACCTAGTCCTCCCCTGCATAGAGAGCGCTCTTTGGCTGGAACTGCTCAGCTTCTGAGGGACTCATTTCTCTCCTTCTTCTGTTTCCGCCACCCTTTCTGTACTGGAGGTCCCATCAACCGAGAGATGCGTCACTTGATCAGCAGCCTTCAGAACCACAACCACCAGCTGAAGGGAGACGTGCAGCGCTACAAGCGCAAGCTCCGGGAGGTGCAGGCAGAAATCAACAAGGTGGGTCTGTGAGGAGGAAGGACTGCTAGAGGTCTGGCAATACAGTGGTGCCTCGCTTAGCAAGGTTAATCCGTTCCGCATTAACCGTCGCCCAGTGAAACATCGCTAAGTGAACTTAAAAAGCCCATAGGAACGTATTAAAACTGATTTAATACGTTCCTATGGGCTTAAAACTCACCGTTCTGCGAGGTTCCTCCATTGCGGCAGCCATTTTGGATGCCTCGTTAGTGAGGCAAAACAGCGGTCGCCATTTTGTTTTAGCGGCGGCCATTTTGGAACCACCGATCAGCTGTTCGCTATGGTTTGATCGTGTCCGTGCGATCATTGCATAGCGAAAAAAGCCCATAGGGGCCATCGCTGAGCGAATGCCCCGGCGATGGCCTGCAACCCCTCGCTATGCGGTTTCATCGCATAGCGAGGCGTTCACTATGCGAGGCACCGCTACTTTGAACAGGGGCACCGATGTTTGTTCTCTTTTTGAGCTCTGGTTCATGTGAACTGTCTTTCTCTTGGGGAGATGGGGGACAATGGGCTCTGTTTGGCTGCAAGTGCAGAAGGGGAAGCAAGAGGCCACCTTGAATTTCACAGAGAAGATGTTCTGAAACGCTTTGGATGTTTTGGCTTCCAGTCTCCAGGAGCTAGAGGCTGCAGGCCCAGTGGCAAGGGATCATGCAGTTGTAAACTAAAACATAGAATCATAGAAGAATGGAGTTGGAAGGAGCCTCTAAGGCCACCGAGTCCAAACCCTTGCTCAGTGCAGGAATCCAAATCAAAGCAGATCTGGCAAAGAGTTGTCCAGTTTTCTCTTGAATGTGTCCAGCATTGGAGCACCCAACACCTCTTCAGAACACGGCCAAAGAGCCCGAACCAACACTTCAGAACACGGCCAAAGAGCCCGAAAAACCCACAACAACCAACCTCTCAAAGTAATTATTGGTTCCATTGTCGTACTGCTCTAACAGTTAAGAAGTTTTCCCTGATATTCAGCTGAAATCTGGCTTCCTGTAGCTTGAGCCCTTTATTAAGTGTCCTGCACTCTAGGATAATCAAGAACAGATCGTGGTCCTCCTCTGTATGAGTACCTTCCAAGTGTTTGAAAGCACTATCGTCTCTCCTCTCAGTCTTTTTTTTTTTAAAGTTAAACATGCCCAGTTCTTTCAGTATGGTCCTCCTCTGTATGACTACCTTCCAAGTGTTTGAAAGTACTATTGTATCTCCCCTCAGTCTTATTTTTTCCGAAGTTAAACATGCCCAGTTCTTTCAGTTTTCCTCATAGGGCTTGATTTCCAGTCCATTGATCGTCTGTGTTGCCCTCCTCTGAACTTGCTGCAGTTTGTTAGCATCCTTCTTAAAGTGTGGTGTCCAGAACTGGACACAGTACTCAGATGAAGCCTAACCAGTGCTGAATAAAGGACTAGTACCTCATGGGATTTGGAGACTATGTTTCTGTTAATGCATCCTAAAATAGTTATTGCCTTTTCTGCAGCCACCTTGCGCTGTTGGCTCATGTTCAGCATTTGATCTACAACAATTCCAAGATCTTTCCCATGTGTAGTATTCCTGAGCCAAGTATTCCTATCTTGTAACTGTGCATTTGGCTTTTTAAATTTTATTTTATTTCTGGAATGAAGGGACAGAGGTTCCCCTTGTCCTAAAGGAAGCATGTAATGTGATGAAAGGAAAGAAATCCTAATTCATTGGGAATTTGAATAAATAATGCAAGGTTCCAGTTCCTTCTTGGAAAAAGGAGGTGGGAATCTTCAACCTCAAGAATTTACATTAAACATTGAATGGAAACTCTTGCGATCTGCCAGACCTGGGTGAGGAGCAACGTGGCACAGTGGTTAAACCGCTGTACTGCAGCCAAAACTGTGCTCACGACCCGGGGTTCAAAGCCCAGGTAGCCGGCTCAAGGTTGACTCAGCCTTCTATCCTTCCGAGGTTGTTAAAATGAGTACCCATCTTGCTGGGGGGGGGGCAATGTGTAGCCTGCATAATTAACTTGTAAACCGCCCAGAGAGTGCTTGAAGCTCTATGGGGTGGTATATAAGCAGCACGCTTTGCTTTGCTTTGGACTTACACCCCTTCCAGATCACCGGTTTGATCCTTCAGTTTGCCTTTCTTGTTCTTTCTGTATAAGTCCCATCTTGCCCCCCCCCATTCCCCAAGGAAAGAAGCCCAGATAATACTCTGTAAACAGCCTGTGTCTAATCTTTTCTCTCTTAATCTTGTTGGGATGGTGGGGGACTCTGTGGTTCTGGAGTGGGGTGTTTCTGCAGCATGCTGTTCTTGGAGTTCTGAGGTATACCTGGCAGCTGGCCTGGCAATGCATGTTCATTCATTCTTTTCTCAGGTTCGGATGCAACAGAGTGGGTTTCCCTCTGGCTCAATGGCAGCGGCCCCTACTCCAGGGAGTGAGGACCCCATGGGAGTCCCAGGTGCCCCAGGAGTAGCCACGGTGAAAGAGGAGGAGGGCTCTGTGCCACCTGAGGTGAAGAAGGAGCTTAAAGAGGTGCAAGTGAAGAAGGAGCCCAAGGAGGAGCTGGTGACGCCCCAGCCCCTTGGGAGCCACGAGGGAGTAAAGAAGGAGGAAGAAGAGCCGCCTCCCTCCCAGCCTCCTACCCCACAGCCACCCCCGCCGCCCCGATCCAAGGAGCCTGAGCGGTCTAAGGGGCGGGGCGGAGAACGGGGCGGGGACCGCGAGAGGTCCCGGGATCGGGACAAGGAGACCTCGTCTTCCTCCTCTTCCTCATCCTCCTCTTCCTCGCGGGATCGGGAGAAACAGAAGGGTGGCGGAGGCAGCGAGGATGCCAAGAAGAAGGACTCCGATCTGCTCAAACAGCTGCGGGCGGAACTCAAGTGAGTGTGCAGGTGGCTGGCGGGGCGGGGGGGGGAACGGGGCATTTACACTGGAGAGGCAGAGACGTCCGTTCCTGGACTGCAGCTGCCAGCGTCCCCCAGGCAAATCCAGGTTGACCGGCAGGGCATGCTGTTTGGCCACTGGCCTTTAGAACGGTCGAGAACCTTAGAGCTTTCTAGGCAATTTTGGGGAAACAGGAAGGGTGTTGTTGAATAGGACTCGAGTGTCCCAGGCTGAAGGGCGAAGGGAGCCTTTGCTGGGAAGAACATCTGCCGGTACTGAGATTCTTGGGAACAACTCCATATGAATGCGTAGGAAATATAAATTTTAGTACAGTAGGACTCCCATATCCACGGGAGCATATGAATGCTTAGGAAATATAACTGAATTTTAGTAGAGTAGGACTCCCATATCCACGGGATCGCTATCCATTGATTCACTTATCCGCAATATGAAAATATTAAAAATATTAAAAGAAAAATCCTAGAAATATATATAACTCTGATGTCATTTACCAGAATTGGCCAATGGAGGGAGCCAGATACCATGCTATGTATAGTATTTGCTATCATTTGCATTTTTCCACATCTGCGGGGGAGGCTTGGAACCGGTCCCCCGTGGATACAGGGGTCCTATTGTATAGTGGAGGATTTCCAGAGTCTGAGAATTTCACTAGTACTTCAGGTAAGGGATGGGAAACCAGCTGTTTGTGTGCCAGCAACATCCTTGGAAGTTCCAGCCCTGTGGTATTTTCTGTTGTCTCTGATTAGTTATCAGTGTTCAAAGGTATTTAACTTTTAAATAGTGCTGCAGAACATTAAGCAGTCTTCTTTTGCATGATATGCTCAAGGAAGAGGTCTTGGGGTTTTGTGTCACGTGATTTGAGTGTAGGCCAGCTGCTATAACATTTTGGCTCCTGGGCAGGGAAGACGGATCCCTGCAAGCTAAAACTCCAGTGTACTTTATACTGAGAATGGTCCTGGGATGTTCGTTCACCCCCATAGTCTTTGCAGGCCCCTTAGCCCCCAAACGAATGATCCTGGTGCATCTTTCCTGGGTTACCTCCTCTCGTAACAGGCATTCCCATAGTTCAGAGTCAGGAGGATCTTGCTGCCCTCTGGTGTAAGGTGCTGTCTTTCACGCTGTTCCTGTTTTCCTTTCTCAGAAAGGCTCAAGAGAGCCAGAAGGAGATGAAGCTCCTCTTAGATATGTACAAGTCCGCGCCCAAGGAGCAACGGGACAAAGTGCAGCTTATGGCAGCTGAGAAGAAAACCAAGGCAGAGGTGAGGTGGGAATGGCCTCCGCGGAAATGCTTGTCGTCTTGTTCTTGGAGAATGCGGGGTGATTAAAAAGATCTTTGCTTGTTTTTAAAAACTGTTTTCATCTAGGTTATGGTAGGTCAATTTTAGACCCATTTCTCAGCTAGTATTGGTCTACCTTCCCCAAAAGAGGCGTTATTGTGCTTTTAGAACCAGATTGAACAATACTATTATAGTTGCTGAAATCCTCTTGCACTTGGTGTAGCAAAAGTTACACCTGTTGAAGGTCACAGGGAGATCCACCAAGGCAGTTCGCATTGTGTGCCTGATTGTGCAGCTAGCTGTGCAGCTCTCCCCACAGATCTGCTTGCTGGATACGGATTCTGCCTTGGAATTAATTTTATAACTGCTTGTGCAAACCTTTAAGTTATGTAGATGTAGCTATGCAACAAGATTTTGGCTGGTGTTTGTAATTTGCCTTGAATTAGCACAGTCCTGCATGATGAATTCAGCAGGAACTGTATGGGAGTGGGTGGCTCTAAGTATAAAGAATAATCTCTGTTTTCTTTGAACTTGGGCCCTTTGGCAGGTGGAGGAGCTGCGGGTGAGGATCCGCGAGTTGGAGGAGAAGGAGAAGAAAGAGAGCAAGAAAATGGCCGATGAGGATGCTTTGCGTAAGATCAAGTTGGCTGAGGAGCAGATTGAACACCTGCAGAAAAAGCTGGCTGCAACGAAACAGGTATTTTTCTGGGAGGAAGAGGAGGACTGCAGTGCCCCTCAGTCCAGCTAGCATGGTTGGTGAGTAGGACAGTGGAAGCTGTAGCACAGAGTATCGAGGGGATACTAGGCTGGCAAAGGTTGAAATAGGTAGCGCTACAGAGTTAGTGCCTTGAGACTGACTTTCTAATTCCTCCAGATTTACCACCATAAATCAGTGCTTCCCAACCTTGGGTCTCCAGGTGTTCTTGAATTACAACCCCCAGAAATCCTGGCCTGCACAGCTAGTGGTGAAGGTTTCTGGGAGTTTAAGTCCAAGATTATCTGGGGACCCAAGGTGGAGAACTCTTGCCATAGGTTGATAGCATGGTTTCTCCTGTGCACGTGTAAAGGTGGGAGATAGGGACTCTTAGCCTCGTAGGCCCTTGTGGTTCTCGAGTTGTCCTACAGGATCAGTCCGAAGGCCTGCCTTCTACCTTAGTGAACCTCTCTCTATTCTTAAGATCTTCAAAGGGGGATGATCTCCTTGCCCCGTCACCCTCACAGGCAGGTGTGGTGGTGGAAAGGAGAGAGGGGTTTTGTAGTTGCTTCTCCTAGTCATTGGAACTCCCCACCAGGGGAAGCTGGGCTAGCCCCTGACTGTGGTCCTTCTGCCAGCAGGAAAAGTAGTTTTCATTCAGGCAGGCCATTGGTGTCTTAATAATAATAATCCTAGAACTGCAGAGCTGAGCTGGAAGGTTTGGATCACCGAGTCCAGACCCGGTCAAGTAGGCACAGCGGGGAATCGAACTCCCAACCTCTGGCTCCACAACCAGATGCCGAAGCCACTGAGCTATCCAGCTGCATAGCTGAAGGGGCAGTTTTTTTTCACCGATCAGCTCTTTAACATTTGTATGTTATACCGTACTTATATTTGTGTTCACATTTGAGCTACCATGAATGCCTTTTTTTGACAGAAGGGCGGGATATTAATAAGTGCAAGGCTAATCTCGCCAAGTCCCCTGTTTCTAAAAGTCGACAGCTAGTTGCTTCTGAGAAGCGCGTACACCTGCGCCTACCCACCCGAAACCCAGCCGTTCTGGTCAGCCTGTTGTAACCGCAGGGATCTAGCGGCTGAGGGGAAAGAACTTGAGCCGTTGCATT